ATAAATAATACTTTTTGACTACAATGGAGACAACATGCTCTATAGATAGCTTAATAAATAATACTTTTTGACTACAATGGAGATAACATGCTCTATAGATAACTTAATAAATAATACTTTTTGATTACAATGGAGACAACATGCTCTATAGATAGATTAATAAATAATACTTTTTGACTACAATGGAGACAACATGCTCTATAGATAACTTAATAAATAATACTTTTTGATTACAATGGAGACAACATGCTCTATAGATAGATTAATAAATAATAATGTTATCAGAATGAATATTGATAAAAGGCTTACTAAAAAATCGATAATTTTACTCTAGGAGGGGACGATGTCCAACAACTTTGTGAGGCCGGAGAAGAAGAATTTTTGGAAATCATGGCCTTAGTCGGGATGGCTAGCAAACCTTTACATGTTCGGCGACTACAAAAGGCACTACAAGAATGGGTGAACAATCCTGGTATGTGCTCTTACGTCTTTAGAGTTGACGTAGTGTTATTATGTATTTAGAGTTATAACGTAGTGCTCTTAGGTCTTGAGAGTTATGAAGTAGTGCTATTAGTCCTTGGAAACTATGAAATAGTGCTCTCAGGTTTTGAGAGTTATGAAGTAGTTCTTTTAGGTATTAAGAATATAAAGTATAGCTCTTAGGTATTGAGAGTTATGAAGTAGTGCTATTAGTCCTTGAGAGCTATGAAATAGTGCTCTCACATCTTGAGAGTTATGAATTAGTGCTCTTAGGTATTGAGTGTTATAAAATACTACTCTTAGGTGTTGAGGGTTATGAAATAGTGCTATTAGTCCTTGAGAGCTATGAAATAGTGTTTTTAGGTGTTGGAGGTTATGAAATAGTGTTTTAGGTCTTGAGAGTATTAAGTAGAAGCTCCATCTGGCAATCCTAGTTATGATCTCATGTTTGAAGAGTTATGAAGAGGTTTATTGTTATATTTTGAGAGTTATGAAGTATTTTCTATTATATTTTGAGAAGTACAACGTTGTGCTATATTTTGAGTTTTGTAAAATAAAAATCACGTCTAAATATTGGAATTATCGCCTTAAGCGCCATTTTATGCGCACATGAGTTAAACTTTCGGGTCAAAGTTCCCTAGAATTCAGGTATAGCTGGGTAAAAAAGGTAAGCAATAAACAGCACCCTACGCCATAGGAGCTTTGTCCGGCACTGAACCGAATTACGGGACTGACTGAAAATGCGGAACGTGTTCAGTGAAATTGAGGGGCAAACCTCGGACCTTTCGATATACAGCCCGGCATGCTATCTACCAGGCTACTAGGCTATCTACTAGGCCAACAAATCATCTTTAGAGATGGTTCTCTTCATATTATTATTACCTAAATATTATTTAAAAAGATAGAAGTTAGTTTCACAGAAGGTTGAAAGTTCTGTGTGTACGTCATTCTGCAGATCTGACATACAGTTTATTTTCACCAGTATTTGTCGATTTTCCATGCAGTAGATTTTATTTTATTACAAATATAATACAAAAAAAAATAATTTTATAAATACAAGTAAAGATCGATATATACGTAGCCTAGCTTAGCTATAGTAATATAGAAAGTTTTAATGCTACAAAAAGTACTGAAACAACAAAGTCAAAACTACAGAAATCGAGTTACTTAAAATTTTATCTCTACTTTTGGCAAATCACTTTAATTACATTAGCCTGAGCCAAAGTAGGTATAAACATTTTGTTTCTTTTTTCATCTGCGTCAGCAATAGCAAGCGTGGGGCGCGCGTATACCTAATTGTTCCTTTCTTGTACCAAAAAGGATACTAGTATATATACGTGTGTATAAAACGGACGATGCGCTACTTTGGTCATATAATTAGATTTTAGGGTAGGTTGGTAGAAATCCTGATGAGTAATAAAATCGAATCGTGACCTCAGACGGAAGAACTCTGTGAAAGGTTTAGAGCGATAAGGTTCGTCATTTTTTTCTGTACGCTTGTCTGAGAAAATCACTTACTTACTTAGATGAAAATTCGTTGAAATAATTAAATTTTGATTCACTCCATAAACACGTATATAACGATTTAGGCGGCTTTTAGAAGTACAATAAGCTTTAGTTTTGCTCAGCAAGTGCTGTGAAATAGTAATTGTTAATATTCAGACCTTTTCAAATGTGGTTTTAAACAAGCAATTTTTATGTCCGCCATTTTTTCCCATCATGATCCATACTATTAAGTACTATCGTACTTAATGATACCAGAACACAACTACTCTCAGTATTATGACCCTTCCAGTTTATTGCGTTAAACACAGGGCAACAATTATATATAAAATATTTTGCATAATACTGATTAAGTGTTTCGCAATTTTTCATGTACACACTTATAAAGTGCGTGTTTTTATACATGTTTTAACGTACGAAAATAATGTTCACATGTAAAAAAATAGTTCCCTTAATTATATATATCTACGTAATTTCAGCAGCATTATACATATAATTTCCTGTGAACATTAGAGAGTCAGCTTAGGTCGTTTTCTTCAAAACCATAGGAGTAGTTGGCAACGAGAGACAGTTGTGTTATTTGATGACTACTTAAACATTTAGCAACAGGAGTCATGAAGTTCGAGCATCATTTATTTGGTAATGCTGTACTTTGATCCTTAAGTTTCCATTATGGCTCTAAAGGACCCGGAGTTAGCATCAATGAAGATTCTCTGTGTCTTTCTAAGCAGGGAAATGTGAATCTTGTCGTTTCCGTTGCTGCTAGCTTATGCATCCACTCTAGTGAAGAACCACATCCGTTGATAAGAGACAAAGAGCATTAACCTACACATGGTATGTTTGTCAGATTTTGCCTGCAATTACCTGACGCAGCGGATAAACGTATTAGCGCTTTTGAGAGTTTAGAATCAGCACATCTCGCTTTCATTATAGTTTTTATTTAAATAAGCATACAACCTCTTAGATAATGATAGTCTTAGAACAAGTTAATTAACGCATGAAACTTGGTGAGTCGCTATAGGTGAGTTAACAGTGCCTATCTCTGGATAATCTCTCTAATTCATTATATTTCACAATATATTTGAAAAGCTCACTCACAGACGCGAATCCTGTTTTAATTACGCTCTGTTTCAGTAAGATATTAGCAAGTTTCTAGATGGCGATGCGTAAAGTTGAGAAACGTATCCTCGCTTCCCTCAAATCACCTGATAAGCTCACGAAAAAGTGTTTAAGAAAAAAAACACGTGTTTGTCTCTCTAACACAAGACGTTGGGTGTGTTAAGATCTTATTTGATGACGTATGAAAGATCGTTAGGGTTTAAAATTACAAGCTACCTGCTAAATTTTGAGTAAGTTGAAAATTCATTATCTCAGTACTCAAAATTATCTTCAACTTATGTACCAGTAACACTCATGATATTCAAATTATTTGGTTTATATGGAACATTAGTAACCTAAACAGTTGTAATTTAAACCTTAACCTTATGTATAACCTATCAGTTGGTAAAAAGTATCGATCAAGCATCACGGTTGAATGTATCTTTGATATTGTGTTGTTTGAAATACGGTTTAGGTGGAAGAAAAGTAATTCTCAGGTTGGGAACATTGAATACTGCTATGTTTTCGAAATACGGTTTAGGTGGAAGAAAAGTAAGCATCATAGTTGGGAATATTGAATACTGCTATGTTTTCGAAATACGGTTTAGGTGGAAGAAAAGTAAGCATCATAATTGGGAACATTGAATACTGCTATGTTTTCGAAATACGGTTTCGGTGGAAGAAAAGTGAGCATCGAGTTTGGATGTATTACATACTGCATTGTTGTTTGAAATACGGTTTAGGTGGAAGAAAAGTAATTTTCAAGTTGGGAACATTGAATACTGCTATGTTTTCGAAATACGGTTTAGGTGGAAGAAAAGTAAGCATCATAGTTGGGAACATTGAATACTGCTATGTTTTCGAAATACGGTTTCGGTGGAAGAAAAGTGAGCATCGAGTTTGGATGTATTACATACTGCATTGTTGTTTGAAATACGGTTTAGGTAGAAGATTACAACTCACCTAGAAAGTGTTTAATAAATTTCATCCACTTTCTCAGAGATAATTATGAAGGCGGGGCAAGTTTTGATCGATAAAATGAATCACATTCGACCTATTTTAAACTTATTTGAAATCGTATCAACTCAGTTAGAATTTATTAAATCCATTTTTTTCTTGTTTCTACAAACAAATCAACTCATCTAGTTTGTTTTTTCCCTCCCTTTATTTTTATCCGCCTATTCAGGCGTTATTGAATTTTCTGATTTTCTAAATGATCCAACTCCACGGATTGACCGATTATGTAGTGGTAGTACAGGTTTCTGATAATAACAGTCTTTTTTTTTATTCTCACTGTCTTTCTGTCGTGTTTTCCACATTCAAACTTTCCCACAAGAACATATTTGAGAGCAACAATAGTTCCCCCCCCCCCATTTCCTCCAGTGCGCAGGAAATTTGGAGCCTCAAGCCATTTATCCATGCATTCATTATTCATTAAGTCAAGTCCTCAGGGTAGCTCTTCAAACAAATCGATAATGCCTATTTGAATAGATATGATGTGGGAGTGATACGGCCATTAATTGTAGTGATTGTTGTTTCGTAAGAGATTGCCGAAACGGGTACATATCCATTACAGAAGATTGTTTTAAAGTAATAAAATACAGGTAACTGTATATCGTTAAAAACTGCTGTGATTTACTTATTTTACTTTTTAATGAACCCTTACTGATACTGAGGGATAAGATTTACTTTCTTTATACGACTAACTTTAGAGAGATGCCTCTTCCTGTTTATGGTCTTCTTTACAGTCGTTTAGAATGACATAAACTTATTTGTAAAAAAAACTCTACTCGCATCTGTTATGTATGTTCGACTTATGTAAAAAATAATTGTTGGCCTTTAAAGTGTTGTTTTAAAATATTTGTCTAAGTATTAAAGAGACGAAGCAAATTTAAAGAGATGTCTTGACACTCGAATGTTTATTCAGAGAGATGGTTGGACATTTAACTATTTACATAGAGGAAGATGGCTTGACATTCAAATGTTTACGTAGAGAGATTATTGGACATTTAAATTTTTACATAGAGAGACGGCTGGACATTCAAATGTTTACATAAAGAGAGGGTTGGACATTCAAGTTGTTACGTAGAGAGCTGATTGGGCATTCAAGTGTTTATGTAAAGAGATGGTTGGACATTCAAGTGTTTATATAAAGAGATAATTGGTTATTCAAGTGTTTATGCACTGATGGTTGAACATTCAAGTGTTTACGTAGAGAGAGATGATTGGATATTCAAGTGTTTATGCACTGATGTTTGGACATTCGAGTGTTTATTTACTGATGATGGTTGTAGATTCAAGTATGTTTACATGGAGGAAGATGGCTGGACATTCAAGTGTTTACGTAGAGAGATGATTGAATATTCAAGTGTTTATGCACTGATGTTTGGACATTCGAGTGTTTATGTAAAGAGATAGTTGGTTATTCAAGTGTTTATGCACTGATGGTTGGACATTCAATTGTTTACGTAAAGAGATGATTGGATATTTAAGTGATTATGGACTGATGTTTGGACATTCGAGTGTTTATGTAAAGAGATAGTTGGTTATTCAAGTGTTTATGCACTGATGGTTGGACATTCAAGTGTTTACGTAAAGAGATGATTGGATATTTAAGTGATTATGGACTGATGTTTGGACATTCGAGTGTTTATGTATTAATGTTTAGACATTCGAATGTTTATGTAAAGAGATAATTGGTTATTCAAGTGTTTATGTATTAATGTTTAGACATTCGAATATTTATGTATAGAGATGGTTGGACATTCACGTGTTTATGTATAAATGTTTGGTGTTTCGAGTTCTTATGTACTGATGTTTGGACATTCGAGGTTTATGTAGAGAGATGATTGGAGATTCAAGTGTTTATGGATATATATAATGCAAAATCTCGTATATATTTACGCTTCAAAACTGACAAAATATGATTTTTTGCCTGCATGGTATTATCATGAAAAGCCAACAAAATGCATCCGTTTCTAATTTTTATACAAGTTTTCGCGAAGTGACCTGAAATTTTGTGCACAGTTTAAAAGTAGAAGGACCACGTTCCACTTTTGTCTGTCTAACACTGATTTATGGATACAAGATGCATAATTTCTTAAGGTTTTTACAACCAGTTTTCAAGATGTTTTTTTTTTTATATTAGATTTTCTCCATAAGTTTATTTCTTGATTTATGTTACCCATAGCTTTCTATTTCATCAGAAAAAAAAAAATGGCCAGGCTTGGCCAGGTGGTTATGGCACTCGACTCGCAATCTGAGGGTCGCGGGTTCGAATCTCTGTCCCACCAAACAGGCTCGCCCTTTCAGCCGTGGGGGCGTTACAATGTGACGGTCAATCCCACTATTCGTTGGTAAAAGAGTAGCCCAAGAGTTGGCGGTGGGTGGCGATGACTAGCTGCCTTCCTTCTTGTCTTACACTGCTAAATTAAGGACGGCTAGCGCAGATAGCCCTCGTGTAGCTTTGCGCGAAATTCAAAAACAAACAAACATCATCGGAAAATAACAATATTTATGTTCATAAGTATGAAATATAAGATAATATCAATTTTAAAAGCTTCACAAATACAGAAAGGGTATTTTAAACAGAAATCAACAGAACATACAAGACGTGTTTAAACAGAACATCTACAGATACCGATTTCTTTATACCAGGTGCTTATAAGTAATCACACGGATGTGTATAGCGACAAGATAAGCACCTCGCATGTGTTTTAACACACGAAAATGAAACATCTGAACAAAACGCATAACGTTTTTCTGTTGAAACATCTAATATATTAGTAAATACTTGGACAAATATACTAATCAAAATCTTTCATTTCTAACATTATATGAGAGTTAGAACTATAAGTGTTTATTTAGAAATGTGATTTTAAGTCTATGTGTGTAATAATTTAGACATATAACCGTTCTTTGAAGTTATTTGAGATGACAGTACCTATATGAATGTGTCCATATAAAAAGTTTACTGTACTTGTGCGTATCCATCTAAAGATGATTGTACTTATGTGTGCGTGTCCATTTAGAGAGATGGCTGTACTTGTGTGTATCTATTTGGAGATGACTTTATATTGTAGGTATCTATTTAGGTAGGTGACTGTATTTGTGGAAATTCATTTAGAGAGATGGCTGTACGTGTGGATATTAATTTAGATAGATGACTGTATTTGTTGGTATTCATTTAGAGAGATGACAGTACTTGTGGGTATTCATTTAGAGAGATGACAGTACTTGTGGGTATCCATTTAGGTAGGTGACTGTATTTGTGGAAATTCATTTAGAGAGATGGCTGTACGTGTGGATATTAATTTAGATAGATGACAGTACTTGTGGGTATCCATTTAGAGGGATGACTGTAGTTGTGGGTATTCATTTAAAGAGATGACTGTAGTTGTGGGTATTCCTTTAGAAAGTTTAGGGAGATGACTGTAGTTGTGGGTATTCATTTAAAGAGATGACTGTAGTTGTGGGTATTCCTTTAGAAAGTTTAGAGAGATGACACTACTTGTAGGTATCCATTTAGAGGGATGAGTGTACTTGTGGGTATCCATTTAGGGAGATTACTGTATTTATGGATATCCATTTAGAGAGTTAAGTATACTTGCGCAAGTCCACTTTGAGAGATGCTTATGTTTTTCTGAACGTGGAACTTATCCTTACCTTAAAGTTTTGTCTGTGTGAGCTGACTTTATCATTTCACTTGTTTATAGTAAGGAATGCTTGTTTCTTTTATTTCAGCCATGTTTCAGACACCACTTGTGCCCACCATACCCCCAAATCATCCAAACCACCACATGAATTCCCTAACAACTTCCAACAGGGCGGGTCCCGGACCTGGTCCTGGACCCGGAGCTCCGGTAAACCTATCCCATTCGTCGGGACTGCCGCTGAGGCCCAGTCCACCAGTCCCAATGCTCCCAAACAGTACCAGTCACTCGTCCCCTTCCCCCGGAAGAAAGGAGGTGCCGTCCCCCAGCCAAACTCACGTGTCGTCACACCATCAGCATCAACAGTTTTCTCAGCTCCAACAACACCATCAAGTTAGCCAATCTCTCCAACAGGTAAAAACAAATATGACTCTTATCTTTTTTTTGCAGTAGTATGTATTGTTTTATCCATTATCACTGATAATAACCAGATCACAATAAGCGCGCAGTGTTGTTTGTGAATGTATATTGTATTTTCTAATCTGTTTCTACATAAACCAACTAACGCCTTTGTCTTGAATTAAACATATTTTAAAAACAAATTTACTCAGTTTTTTAACGTCATAAATTTAAAAAAATTAAAAGCATATCCATTGAATCCATTTATTAATACCATAAAACAAGCCATAATACATATAGAGATCTCCAGAGGTCGCGTTTTCATCCTCTTGTACATTTGATGAATAGAAATATAGTTATTTTGGGACTATATAACATTAATGTTTAAAAAAAAACTTGTCAAAGATACCTATAATTTAGCAACTGCACCAAGTATTTAACGATAGTTTAGCAACTGCACCAAGTATTTAACGATAATTTAATATCTGCACCAAGTATTTAACGATAGTTTAGCAACTGCACCAAGTATTTAACAATAATTTAGCAACTGCACCAAGTATTTAACGATAGTTTAGCAACTGCACCAAGTATTTAACGATAGTTTAGCAACTGCACCAAGTATTTAACGATAGTTTAGCAACTGCACCAAGTATTTAACAATAATTTAGCAACTGCACCAAGTATTTAACAATAATTTAGCAACTGCACCAAGTACTTAACAATAATTTAGCAACTGCACCAAGTATTTAACAATGATCTGGCAAATTGCACCAAGTATTTTTTGTTGATTTGTTTGGCAAACTTTATCTCTGTTTTCGAACTGTGCCATTTTAATTAATTATATTAAGAACTTACCTCAAGGATTTCTTTCCAGTGTTTAACTGTGAAAATCTACGAAGTCCAAGTAGTCAGTTGTTTACTGTTGGAACTATAGTTTTAGAAAAATAATAGCACTTCAAAAAAGTTCATAAACTGATCGTTTTTATTTTTCTGTACAACTTGTTCTTTGCAGTTCAAAACAAGATTTTATCAATGAGTTGTTTGGTATTATTTCCGCCCTATAAATTGTATAATAAACATATGAAAATGAATCCCTAAAGACGAATTCATAAAACATAAAAGTTCCTAAAAAAAAACATTTTAGCATTGAGGAGCTCTATGTTTAGCTTCTTAATAATCACTTATGTTTGCTTTTTTTTCATGCTTTTTCACGTGTACAACATACAAGTTAGTTTGCATCTTTAACTGTACACTATTTTTTGTTGCCAATTTAACAACGTACAGTTATTTTACAAGTCTTATCTTTTGTTTTATTATCCATTTAAACTGCGTGTTAGTTCTATAAACTTTAAATTAAGCTTTAGGTTATCATTGTTATTATGATAGCGATGAAAACCACCGCTCTTAGAAAATATATCGTTCTAAACTACTTATGTGCCAAATTGTTTGCGAATCGATGACTTTGGTAATTACAGGATTCCTTATAACGTAAACATATCATAAAATTGAAAAACAACGAGGGACCTCTTGGTCCATCAAGGCCTACCCATCCACTAAACTATTAATAAAACACTTCAAAACCAATCATTATCATTGAAATATTTAGTAAACCTTTTTTTAAACTTCCTTAAATTTTCTGCTTCCACCACATCTGAAGGCAACCCATTCCAAAGGCCAACTACCCTCTTAGAAAAATAAAACTGTCTTAGCTGAAGATAACTCTTACCCTGCCAATATTCATATTTGTGTCCCCCAATCCTACTGTTCTCACTGTTAAATATGGAAAAAAATTATGCACCAACACTAGCAATTACCTTTACATCTTAAACACCTCAATCATCTCCCCCCCCCCAACTCTTCTTTCTTTTCAAGAGAAAACAGTTAGAGAGATTTCAACCTCTCTTCATATGACAACTTTTCCATCCCAGGTATCATCCTAGTAGCTCTCCTCTGAACCCTTCCCAACATTTCAATGTTATCCTTAAAGTAAGGAGCCCAAGATTGAACACAATACTCCAAATGTGGCTTAACTATTGACCTATACAATGATATTATAACCTCTTTAGACTGGTATTCAATATTTATTTAGATACAACCTAAAATCCCACTTGTCCTACCACTAGCAACAGCACACTGCTTGGATAGTTTAAGAAATTAATCAACAAGAACACCAAGTTACTTTTTTCCATACCGCTGTTAAGATTATTTCCATCAAAATTATACTCGCAATTAACATTATGATATCCCATATGCGTTACCTTGCATTTATTATAATTAAAAGCTCTCTTCCACTTATTCACCCAATTCACCAAATGATCTAACTCTTTTTGTAAAGCAGCATCATCATCATCCTCACAGCCAGCGACACCAAGACCTCAGTATCATCAATAAATATAAGTAATTTTTCAGAATCAAATTCATCACCACATTAATGTTTGTGATACATCATAGCAACTCCCAAAGTTTGAGAAATTCTGATCGACTGTACATTCAGAGAGTAATGTGTATATATATATATATATATATATATCACATCATTAAGGTAATGACCATTATGACTTGAGCTGAACTTTCCATCTGTTTAAACTGCAGTCATCCCATGGTGGATGTAGCTTTCCGTCAGCTCATTCCAGTATTTCTTATTCTTAGCATACCATGTCCATCTGATTCCTACTTCCGCCATTATATTGTCCCTCCATCTTCATTTTGCCTTCCCTTAGATCTTTACCCTGTCCTAGGTTGACATTCCATTTGTTTGAGCTAATCTACCATATGCTAAAGTTTGGACATCTAAGAGTCACTTGATGCCAACCACTTACAGAGATAGTGATATACCCTGGAAAATAAGCTGTAGTAACACGCGAGTCACACACAACAAATGTTAACAAAAAAGTTAATATTGCGATTAATCTCAGCTGGGGTTTCTATATTTTACATAGAAAACAAATGATTTTATCTCGTTTTTTTGTCATTCTTTACACAGAGTTTTGTAACAGCAAAAACATTAAATTTGTCAATATTATGCATTAAGTGCACCTCATCTGTAGTGAACACTATAAAAACAAGCCTGTAAGTTGAAGGTTAATATATTTTTTACAAGCCTGTAATTTGAAGGTTAATATATTTTTTACAAGCCTGTAATTTGAAGGTTAATATATTTTTACAAGCCTGCAATTTGAAGGTTAATATATTTTTACATGCCTGTAATTTAAAGGTTAATATATTTTTACAAGTCCGTAAGATGAAGGTTAATATATTTTTACAATCCTGTAATTTAAAGGTTAATATATTTTTACAAGTCTGTAAGATGAAGGTTAATATATTCTTTAGAAGCTTGTAATTTAAAGGTTAATATATTTTTACAAATCAGTAATTTGAAGGTTAATATATTTTTATGTAGGAACTCCTCGTAATCTGTTCCGTGTTCTATTTTCTGGTGAACAACCAAACCGATCCGTTTTCTGAACACTGTGCTATACTCTTTATTTCTTTCTTTCAGCCGTGGGTGCGTTATAATGTGACGGTCAATCCCACTATTCGTTGGTAAAAAGAGTAGCCCAAGAGTTGCCTCTAGTCTTACACTGCTAAATTAGGGACGGCTAGCGCAGATAGCTCTCGTGTAGCTTTGCGCAAAATTCAAAACAAACAAACAAACTTTATTTCTGTGACTGATGTTGATAATGGAAGAGTATAAACTAACTTCCTTATTTGTTCATGAGAAACATATTCAAAGTATACAATACAAATTAGTTAAATTCCGTAGTAGAGTTCATCGCGATACGCTTATATTCGAGTAGACTAGTTGTTGTTTCTTAATGTTGTATACATCCTCCAGAAGAGGTCTCTTTCGGCATCCCAAAATGCCAGTATACTGTCATCTCGGCCCAAACTGGTTGGAAGTCACAGGGCGTAGTTATTATCAACCCTAAACCTTTATGTTTTCATGTATACAAAGGTAGATCCCCTCGTCAAGGTCGTTTGGGTGTCAAAACTAACATTTTGTCGTGCGTAAGTGTTATTTATAACTATTTTTAATTATTTTCAGGCACGTTTCAAGTACTTATGCTACATCCATTATTACTCAGCTTTTTTCCCCCTTATTTATTATTCTGTGTACCAAAATTTAAGACAGTAACTACGTAGGGAACAATGCCAATTGTGAACAATGTTGAAGCCTTTTTACATGTTACAAGCTCCGTTGTTTATTAATATCACTTTTACTGCACTGTTTAGTAAAACAAACGATCAAATACTTAAACTTTTCTATTGGTCAAACTAGCTATAGGTTCACAAGTAGTATTTTCGATCTATTGCTTCCATTCTTGGTTGTTGTTGTTTTTTGTCACTAAATTATAGGTTTTGAAATATTCTATTTCAAGCCTGATGTTAAAGAGATGATTAACTTTTTTCTTGTTTAGTTATATATATTAGTATTATGTCGTCCCTTTCCTTGATAAAATATATGGTGTAATAACTATATTATATTATTTCTCGTCACGAAAAACGGTATTTCATTTTCTCAGATTCTTTCACGATTTCGAAATATTCAGATGGACATTTTTGATGATTCTACCAAACTGTTCCACTAAGGTTTTGAAATATGACATTGAAGTCTTAATTAACTGATGAAAGTAAAAAAAAAAAAAAGAAGAAGAAGAAAAAGCTATCTTGGAGTTTGATTGAAACTAGTACTAATGAAGATCGCTTGAATCTCTGCCTTCCAAGCTGCATGTTATTCCAGTGTCAATTCCTTTCCCCGCGAAACTTGACCGGGCGTGAACTAGGGGTTAATGCCATCCGTTGGCGTAGAATCCCACTTTGGAGCCATAGGTGCGTTGTAAGAGTGACTGTCAAATTCCTCAAGAGTTGGCGGTGGGTGTATTTGACTATCTGCATTCTCTGTAGTCTATCAGCTGAAAGTTAGATAGTTTAGTACATTTAGTCGTTGTGTGGCTTTGTAAAAATATCCGAAACAAACAAACATACGAAACTTCGTATTGATAAAGATTGTTAAC